AAGAAGAAGAAGAAGAAGAAGAAGAAGAAGAAGAAGAAGAAGAAGAAGAAGAAGAAGAAGAAGAAGAAGAAGAAAGGGGCTTACTTTCTTTTGACCTCTGAAATAAGAGCTTGGCCTTATTTTTGGGGAGCTCTTATTATTTCTGGGGTGCAGGGGCCCCCTTAACCTCGGCCCACAGATCAGCTGATCCAGAGAGGGCCAGAAGTTCTGTCTCTGTTCCTGGCACACTCTTGTCAGCCTTAGCGTCGCTTGTCCTGCCTCGCGTTGTCGTGCGCATGTGTTTAAGCATTTTCGCGGTGGACTTATTTTCGGAGGAGGGCTTCTTTTAGCGCATGCTCTCGAAAGCCCAATTGCTCTGATTTATCCAGGGAGGCCTTATTTTCGGGGAAACGGGGTACCAAACGGCAGTAATTCGCTTAACAACCACAGCACGAAAGCTGGCACCATGGGGGCAACATCTCACGAGTCAGCCGTCTCACTTAGCGACATAGATTTTGGGCTCCGTCACGGCCATAAGTCGAGGAATACCTCCACCGATGCCTCCTCGGCGCTCTGCCCGCTGCTCCGGGAAACCTTTTTGTGCTTCTGCTGCTGTGTTTTCCCGCAGCCTTTCCTGAGTTTCTATCGCTCGCTTTGATCTATGAGTTTTCGGCAGAAATGGGGTTTATAAATCACCCTAATGTGCCCGCAGGAAAGACGGTGCTTAGTGTTAGGAGATATACGTCAGGGGTTACTAACAGCCTGAGCCCCTTTCTGGACCAGCAGGGGGTTCGGTGACAGGTTACAGAGAGGATCGGAGGCCTGCGTGTGTTTGTGTGTTTGTGTTGAAGGTCTAGCTATGCCCCGTTGGGGCTGAGGGTGGAGGGAGCCGCTCAGAGCCCCTGGGTCATATTTCTCTTGGCTTGCAAGACAAGCTGGCAAAGCGGCGGGTGGAGGGCGAGGACCCAGGATGTCGGAGGGGAGGGGGCACGGAAGGAATGAACGGGTTACATGGGGGGGGGGAAGAGGGTCTTGGGAGAAATGGGGAGCAACATTTCTCTTCCTTCCATTGAGGACGGTTTGAGCAAATGCGAAGAAGGGAATGAATTCATTGGCGGCTGCTTCTTTTCATGCCTCCTTCTCCTCTTCCACCATCCGCATTTTCTTCTTCTTTTCCTTCTCCCTCCTTTGTCACTGTTTTCTCCTCTTCCTCCTCCATAATCACTGTTGTTTCTTCTTCTTCTTCTTCTTCTTCTTCTTCTTCTTCTTCTTCTTCTTCTTCTTCTTCTTCTTCTTCTTCTTCT